CCATGACAGGATTTCAACACTTGAATTTTGGGGGAATAAAACATTCCATCCAAGGCAGTGGCTGACTCCTCTGTTGGCAGTGAGGTGGGTACAGACATGGAGAACTCAGATATCTTTTTTTGTTTTGGTTTCAATTAAAAATGGAAAGTTGCCTTTTGAACACAGTTGAAACCCCTTGCATAGGAGGTATTACAAAACAGTGAGGGAAGTAACATAAGCCAAAGTGGAATGGGGGGGAACCATGAGGAGTTAACCTGCATTTGGGTTGAAGACTGGGTTCCTGACCAAGAGTCAGTTAGTGTTTCTTTCATTTTTTCTTGGGAGATCTCACACTGTATCCTGTGCATCCTCAGAAGTGTATTAGTCCTATGCTAGGTATCATCATCTTCTATTAACCTGTTTCTCTCTTGATTCTGGCATTGCCTGAGAGGAGACTTTTTTTTGTTTTGTCTTTACCTGAGTATCACTAATTCCTAGGAGATTCTTAGCTACAAGAGGGCAGGGAATATATTTTGCTATCTTCTCTATCCTCTGCTCAGTCTCCAATAAATATTTGTTGCATGAATAAATAAGTTACCCAGCAAATTGTAGGGATTAATAAATATTTATTCAACTAATGAATCATACGTGGAAATTAAATCCTGCTCTGCTGTGCTAAGTCGCTTCAGTCATGTCTGACTTTTTGCGACCCTTTGGACTGTAGCCTGCCAGGCTCCTCTGTCCATGGGGTTCTCCAGGCAAGAATACTGGAGTGGGTTGCCATGCCCTCCTCCAGGGGATCTTCCTGGCCCAGGGATTGAACCTACATCTCCCGCAACTCCTGCATTTACCACTGAGCCACCGGGGGAGCCCAAATTAAATCATATTTTCATGCAATAAGGGAGTTAACTGCTTTGAGACACATTAAATATATCCTGTGTTAATTGATTCTTTTATCCACTTAAAATCTCTAGTCTTGTCTTTAGGTTTTCCTGATTGTACAAGTAATATGTATCCCGGAATGAAAACCTAGGAAACAGAAAATATAAATGATACAGAATCCTCCCACATAAAATTAAGAACTGTTAATACAGCCTTATTCATACAGCACACATAGATTTTTATTCTGCTCTTTACTTATCATATTTTCCTTCATTGTCAACTCTTTTGGGTTAACATCTTTTTTAATGGCTATGCGATATTCTGACTAATTGATGTGCCTTATTTTATTTAGCTATTTCTCTTATTCTAATGTAGGTCAGTTTTGATTTTTCACTATTATAAATAACATTGCAAAGAAGACCGAATATAAATTCCAGTCTTCATTTCTGATTGTGTGCTTAGAATCGATTTCTAAAAATCTTTTTTTCTCCCAAGCTGTTCAGGGCAGTATATCTGAGTAAACACTAGGACTTTCTGCCTTTTATTAGTGACCTTGGGTAAGTGGAAACATTATTATCAGCTATTAGTCTGCAGATGGTTCTTTCTTCAGGATAGAGACCCAATAATTCCTGCTCCTCTAGCCTGGGACTACCTACGGAATTGTATCATGACCTCAGCCATGTTTACAATGCTCTGCCACCCCACCCCTGCCCCCTCCAGGGCTGTCTGAATGCCCTGGACATTTCTTAACATCCACAAAAGGGCTTTGAAAAACCTGAGATTGATGGGGTCATTCCGGAGTATCCTCTTCAGGACAGAAAGGATGAAGGTAAGGACATTTTTATGACAGCTTTCGGTCACCCTGAGCATCTACTGTCCTCACCAGTCCCCTGCATTTATGCCCCTTGTCACCCTCTGAAGACTACTTTGGACTCTAGCACGAACTCAAGGACATGGTGGTTCTGTCAGCAGTGTGTGGTAGCAGCTCTCATTAGAAGACCAGATGGGGGCACCTTAGCCCCAAACGTTACATAAATAATGCCAGTCTCCATAGCAGCAGAGGCTGCTTACCTGACTGTCCCTAGGTAGCCGTGTTGTGGCTAAGACCTCAGTAGCTACAGTAGATTTTTAAACTGGACTGAACAGAAATTGCCACGAGGCTAAAGACACAGAGGCGGTTCCGGTTCCCAGCTCCGCACTGGGGCGGCTCCTGTGTAAACCCCTAGGACTGGCCTGTGATCTCCAGCTGCCATGGGGCTAGAGGCTTAGTGGACTGCATAAAAGGCCACAGCTATTGGCACATAATGGCCCTCAGGACGGTCATGGGTCAGGGGAGGGTTAGAAGGGTTAGAAGGCTAAGTGCCCACCTCTGCTTTTAGACATTTTCTGGGTTACCATTCCCTGGTGGCTCAGTCAGAAAAGAATCTGCCTGCAATGCTGGAGACCTAGGTTCGATCCCTGAGTCAGGAAGATTCCCCCGGAGAAGGAACTGGCAACTCACTCCGGTACTCTTGCCCGGAGAACCCTATGGACAGAGGAGTCTGGTGGGCTATGGTCCAGAGAGTCACGGAGAGTCGGATATAACTTAGCGACTAAACCACCATCACCAATATCTGACAGACTGGCTGGTCCAGAAGAAAGGAAATCCTTAGAAAGTCAGGGGAACTGTGGTCATGTGTTGGAAAGCTGCATATCCCAGGTATGAGAGAGGCAGAGAGGCAAGGACAGCGTGGGAAACACGGTCAAGGGAGGGTGCAGATAACTGTCAGCATGCCCGAGTCCATCGCCAACTACATTCTTCTACTACTGAAATTTCTGGTTTTAAAACAAAAGAAACATTTGATCTGGAAATAGATGACAGGCAGGATTAAAGCAGACACTTATGAATTAATAGCATGAACTTTTAAACCTGTGATACACACACTTAACTGGTAGCGCAAACACTGTGGTTTAAAAAAAATATCACGTGGCCGACAAGCCTTGCCAATATATTTTTACAAGGTGGTTAATACTGCCAACACTCTGTGATGTTGAGCCAAATTACCCTGGAGTATTGTGGTACAGAGCATGACACCATGTTTTTGTGAGAGACTAGATACCAGGGGAGCAATCCCTATAACTCAGGAATGTGTCCAGGGGGCCAGAACATACTGGCGGGATCCAGGCCTTCGTGCAGAGCATCTCAGCTCCCTACCTTTGATGGTGGGTGGGTGTAGAGTTAGGCTGAGTGAGACATCTTCCTTGGAGGAAGGGAAAACCAAGGCCTGATGTTGGTTTATTAAAACCCCAAGCATGTATCTCATAACTAGAATTGGGAACTTCTCCCGGCCTAACGTTTGCCTTAGCGTGGGATACCCGATAGGGAGCCAGTGATGTTTTCCAAGAATCAGTCTGAGTGCTGGCTGGAGCTCTGCTTGCAGGAGCCTGGAGCAGGTCTCCTTGAGGTCATCGACCTGCAAACAGGCCCAGCATCCACCAAATGCTCACCGCATCCATGGCCAGCCCAGGCCTGCTGCTGCCTTAATGGGCACCTTCCTCACCAGTGCCGCTTCCCCCACTTCCAACAGGACTGACTTCCTGCCTGTCTGACCAAAGCTTCTCTGGATTCCCTGATGTTTAGTCAAGCTGCCTAATGAGGAAGCCATGGTTCAGTCTGTATTTTAGTACAGGAGATGCCAAGGCCTGCGAGTTTGGCTAAGATTCTCCCTGTAACCAAACCAGATAAGAGCTGAGAGGCTGCTAAGTGGGCAGAAGGGTTGTTTACACCTGGCTCTTTTCAGAGGTTCTCTGCAGAGCTGGCTCTTGCCTTCTTGTGCAGTACACAGTCTCCCAGGGCTGGCGGAGACGGGCAGACCAGAATTGGGTGAAGTCACGGAGAGTTCTTGAGGTTTAGCAACCACACAGACCATTAACACAAGAATCTAGCACTTGCCTCGGAGCATGGAGTATGTGCGCCCTAGCTATTCATTGCAAGAAGACAGCAATGTTCTCAATAGCAGGCCCATTGAGGGAGAGGGCCTTTTCCCTGCAGCAACCACCCTCCCTACCCGAACCTTCACCCTTTGCAAGAAGGATGATATGGAATATGTAATGGGAAAACACGTCCCTTTCCTTTTCTTCTCCAGCAGTTTTTCTGCCATCAAGACTAAGCTGTGATGGGGACTTCCCTTGTGGTCCAGTGGTAAGACTCTGCATTCCCAATGCAGGGGGCTGGGGTGCGATCCCTGGTCAGGGAACTAGATCCTACTTGCTGGAACTAAGAGTTGGAGTGCTGCAACTAAAGATGCTGTGTGCAGCAATGAAGACCTGGTGCAGACAAATGAATGAATGAACAACAAAAAAATTTGAAAAATAAAGATAGACTAAGCTGGGATGACCTAATTGAGGAAGAAGAAGCCCTGACCTGGAGGAAGTCATTGCCAGATGGAAAAAGGAGAGGAGAGAGCTCCTTCCTCCATGGGTGGGTTTGGAAATGACAGAGGACACGATGTGGAGGGCAAAGGTTGGCTGTGACAGTCTGGCCACCATCTGGTGCTGGTAGGTGAGGCTTCGGAGGCATCTCTCAAGTAGTAACAGATCTGGGACCCGCCTCACTGTCCTCCTCCCCCCAACCCAGCCCAGCTCTCTGTGATGAAATGTTCCCCCGGCCACTCTGGTTGGAAGCTGGAAACACAGAATAAAAGAACAAAAATGGAGGGTGCCAGAGCCTTGCAGTCTGTGCTTGCCATCTGTGAGTTTTCTGAGTGATTCTACTTCCAGCCTCCCCTCCAGAGGCAACTGACATTCTTTTCATAGGCAGAGCTTCTCATATCCCGGCAGCCTTCTTTGGCTGCCAGAAATAAGAGTCTCAGGGTCGAGAAGCTTCCCCAGGGATCCGATCCACTCAAGGAGGACGTTGTCTGTGGCTGCCCACTCATGGGCGCTGGGGCAGAAATTGTTCCTGGTGACGAGCTGAGTGTGTGATGTGCTGTCTGGTGGGGTGGGGGACGGCCGTGCACGTGATGTGGAGCTGGTCCTTTTCCTCGGCCACTTCAGCCCAACACATGAAACCTTCAGCGACCCTGCATTTCTCAATGGAGAATGTTAAACTCTTTTCCCTACTTTCATCATCCTATTTAGTCTGGCCCCACCCTGCTTACGCAATTTGTTTTGTACTCATCCACCCTTAACATCTCATCCTCTGTCCGGTCGCCCTGTTGGCCCTGTTCTTAGATGCCTCAGTCTCCATAGACGCTCCCAGGTCTCCTCCTTTCTGATCGCTGCTTGGCACGCATCTACTACACACTCTCCCAAAGCTCACTCTGGTCTCCGGTGTCGGTTTTGTCTCCCTCAGCTCATTTAAAAGTGCATTGAGGCCAGAGTCCCTGCCTCATTGCTCTTTCTGAAGCCCCGTATTAGAAGGGCAAGCTTTCGCTGGGGTTCAGGTCTTGTGTCTCTGAGCTAAGACCCAACTCTTAAGAGTTGTGACCTGCGTGGGACAGGGAGGAACAGCCCGTTCTCGGAAGAGGAAGAGGAACGAGGCAGTGCTGGCCGCTGACTGGGATGAACAATTCCTGGAAGTCAGTAGCACGCTAGTGGAACAGGACCTGGGGTGGCCACTTCTGCCAGCTCTGGCCATTCCTAGGCTCTTCTTCTCCCTCCAGGCGGTAAGGTGGGCTAGAGAGGAAACCAAGGCCTGCGGGCCTGCTGGGGAGGAATCCACAGCCCTTCACTGTGCTGGCTCCTCCCTGGAGGGGGAGGTCCGTGTGAAGGGGGGCATTTACTGCAAGAGACGGTGCTGTGGGAACCTGGCTTCGGTGGACACCCATCCAAGCGCTGCACCTCCGCGGGAGGAAGGGGGCATTGCTCTCTTTTCATGTCAGCATTTCACCTCCTATCATTGGCAGAGAGAGGTGAGACATCAGCCAGAGGAATGATGACTAGTTCTCCCTCCCCAGGACGCGCCGGAGAGGGGCAGCAAGCATGTCCCGTGCAGGTGGGGGGAAGGCCCCCACCTACTTGCTTGTTGTCCCTTCTTCAGTCTGCCCCCTCCTTCCCAGGGACCTGCTGGTCCACGCATACTTTGCTGTCAGTGTACCCAGCGGCACCCAATCGAGGGTCAGGCCCCCCTGACCCTGGGCTGCAGGATAGAACCCCATGTCCCAGTTCCGGGCCTGGTCAGGCATGGGGGTGGAGTGGGGAGGGGAGACCCCGCCAGGGAAGGGGACACCCCCCCGCCCCGCCTGTGAACAAAAGTGCCTGCATTTCTGACTCTCTTCCTCAACCCTGGGTCTCCAGGGGGCCTGTGGTGGCCACCAGCTTGGACTGCTGGCTGGAGGGAGGGTATCGGGGGCAGGTGGTGGTGGTAAAAATGTTCACATTTGTTGCAAAAAAGACACCTTGTTTTAAGGTGTTTGCCCTCTGCTACTCTGCTATGGGGCACAGCTTCCATTTCCCAGCCATGATTTTGAGCTCATTTGCACTAGCTATGCACCCGAGGTGAAAGAGGTGGAAGGAGATTCTTCTGATCTTAACGGAGACTCCACTTTGTGCTCTGCAGAGCCCTTCAGCCATTATCACGTTCTCACAGCCCTTCACAGAAGGTGTTTTATATCCATCATCCTCAGGAGGAGATGAGAGCCGAGAGGAGGGGCTTGCTCCCCACAGTGGTCTCCAAGCCCACTTCTGCCTGCCTCTCCTCTCTCCTCTCGCTCCCACCCTCACCCACTCCCCTCCTGGCCGGTCTCCTCACTGTTCCTTGACCTTCACGCCCTGTTGTATCTCTCTTTTTTTCATTGTATCTTTTTAAAAAATATTTTTTATTGTGGCAAAAGTCACATAAATAAAACATACTATTTTCACCATATTTAACTGTACAGTTCAGTGGCCCTAAGTTCATTCACACTGTGTAGATCCTACCATTGTGCATCTCCTGAATTTTCCGTCTTCCTAAACTGAAACTCTGTCCCCTTTAAACACTAATCCCCATTCCCCGTCCTCTCCCCCTCAGCCCCTGGCACCTACCATTGTACTTTCTGACTCGATGAATTGGACAGTTCTATTCTAGGTACCTCGTATAAGAGTCCAGCACTATTTATCTGCACCTACTGTATACTGGGATGCATTTTTAAGGTTAACTTCTCCTACAAACAGATTGTACCTTCTTTTTCTTCCTCCTGTGTTATACAGTCGATTCTCATTGGTTATCTATTTTATACATACTTGTGTATATGTGTCAATCCCAGTCCCCCAAGTTATCTCCTCCCTCCTCCATTGTATCTTAAATCCTTTGCTCTAGCCAGTTGCTCTGCCTGGAACACTCTTCTCCTGGATGACCCAAAAAACTCCTTGTCTAATTCTTCGTATTCTTCATGCTTTTCCACCAGTCTCCCATTCTCCATGGTGGTCCACACTGACCACCCAATCCTCATACTGCAACACGTATTATCATCCCCGCCTCTTGTGATGTCTTAATCTTGTCCCATTTTTATATTTTCCTATCCTTCTCATCTTCTTTATATTTCCCTATATTGTCACCCTGCTTATTTAACTTATATGCAGAGTACATCATGAGAAACGCTGAGCTGGAAGAAGCACAAGCTGGAATCAAGATTGCTGGGAGAAATATCAATAACCTCAGATATGCAGATGACACCACCTTTATGGCAGAAAGTGAAGAGGAACTAAAAAGCCTCTTGATGAAAGTGAAAGAGGAGAATGAAAAAGTTGGCTTAAAGCTTTACATTCAGAAAACTAAGATCATGGCATCTGGTCCCATCACCTCATGGGAAATAGATGGGGAGACAGTGGAAATAGTGTCAGACTTTATTTTTTGAGCTCCAAAATCACTGCGGATGGTGACTGCAGCCATGAAATTAAAAGATGCTTACTCCTTGGAAGGAAAGTTATGACCAACCTAGATAGCATATTAAAAAGCAGAGACATGACTTTGCCAACAAAGGTCTGTCTGGTCAAGGCTATGGTTTTTCCAGTGGTTGTGTATGGATGTGAGAGTTGGACTGTGAAGACTCTTGAGGGTCCCTTGGACTGCAAGGAGATCCAACCAGTCCATCCTGAAGGAGATCAGTCCTGGGTGTTCATTGGAAGGACTGATGCTGAAGCTGAAACTCCAATACTTTGGCCACCTCATGTGAAGAGTTGACTTGTTGGAAAAGACCCTGATGCTGGGAGGGATTGGGGACAGGAGGAGAAGGGGACGACAGAGGATGAGATGGCTGGATGGCATCACCGACTCGATGGGCATGAGTTTGAGTAAACTCTGGAAGTTTGTGATGGACAGGGAGGCCTGGCGTGCTGTGATTCATGGGGTCGCAAAGAGTCAGACACGACTGAGCGACTGAACTGAACTGAACTGATCCTCCCATCCATTTCATTGTTCAGTTGCTAAATAGTGTCTGATTCTGTGACCCCATGAACTACAGCATACTAGGCTTCCCTGTGTCCTTCACTATTGGAGTTCGCTCAAACTCATGTCCATTGAGTCGATGATGCCATCCAACCATCTCATCCTCTGTCATCCCCCTCTCCTCCTGCCCTCAGTTTTTCCCAGCAGCAGGGTCTTTTTCAATGAGTCAGCTCTTCACATTAGGTGGCCAAGGTATTAGAGCTTCAATTTTAGCATCAGTCCTTCCATTGAATATTCAGAGTTGATTTCTTTTAGGATAGACTGGTTTGATCTCCTTGCTGTCCAAGGGACTCTCAAGAGTCTTCTCCAACACCACAGTTCAAAAGCGTCAATTCTTCAGCATTTAGCTTTCTTTATGGTCTAACTCTCACAACTGTACATGACCACTGGAAAAATCATCACCTTGACTAGATGGATCCCTGTAGGCAAAATGATATCTCTACTCTTTAATATGCTGTCTAGGTTTATCACAATTTCCTTATTTATAAAATTTATCATTTTCTGCTAGTGGCCTTCTTATTCACTGCTGTCTCTGAAGTGTCTGGCATTGTGCCTGGCAGGTGGCAGGCAGTCAGTCCATGGCTGAGGAATCAATTTAATGAAAGGTCACCCTCACTTGGATCTAGACAGAGATAGAGCTGGATTCAAACTCTAAGGATTTCATCTTGCTCTTCCATCTTAGAACCCAAAGCCTATCCAGGTGGAGAGCAGGCTATTGGCTGCTCAAGAGATGCCTGTTAACTGGATTTCCCCATCAGACTGCTCCTCCTCCACAGCAGGGATACCAGAGCCTGTGAACACAGGGCCTTGTTTTCCTTGGTTGACAGGTTTGCTGGCATCTGGAGGCGGTGGCACACTCCTAGTCACAGGCACCAAGCGCTGTGGTCCTCAGGAATGTCCTGAATGAGCTCTTCCAAACAACACATGGAAGCTAGGCCCGTGCTGCATGCTCAAGACACAAGCTTGCAATCTCTCCAAGTCAGACACCTGTCAAATCCAGAATTGGCTCCCGGCCTTGCTCGAAGGATTTGCTCTTTAGGAAATGATGGAGGGAAACAGGTGGGGCTTGCAAGGCATGAGCTGGAGGTATCAGGGCAGCACAGAGCTAGAGAGGATGCAAGGAGAACCTGGTGGAGCCGGGGCACCAGCTATTACCCGAAAGGCTGCTCTCTGGGCAGTCATGTGGCTGAGCCCTAGAGAGCTGAGATGCGACAGTGGTTTTGTCGTTTTTGTTTTTAATGAGGGTCTGGGGATGGAGACTATAAAGAAACTCTATAACATGAGGGTAGACTTGGGTCAATTGGGGTCCACTGGCTTAAAGGATGAAGACATCTTCTTGCTCATTTCATAATCAGTTTCCTCGGAACAGATTCTCCCCTGAACTCAATTTACCTGGTCCTTGTACTTGTTATGCTGTGGTTCTGTTTCTATTTTCTTTTTTCTTGTTTTGTTCCTGTTATTAGCTGACCTTGTTTATGCTGGCATTAAGGACAGTTTTCTTCCTAATCTCAGTGGCTTGGTAATAGAAAGTTACACATGGTTTGGATTCTGGGTGAAAGGGAACATTTGTATTTATTCTCATACTTACTGGCTATGTTAGTGTTTCTAGGATAGCCCCAGAATCAATGTTTTAATGAATGCTCTAACTGCTAGGAACGCCATTCTGGAACATATTAACCCAGTCAGAGAACTGCCAGTTAGGCTGGTATTTGGTCAACAACAAGCATTTTCTTCCCCACAAAAGAGAGTAATGGAATTAATTTACCA